ATTTTTGTAATTTTAATGAGTTGGCTCACTCAGGGATGTCCCTTTCAAAAGGTTTCTTTTAAATGAGTTTCAAAACCAAAGCCATATACATAACTACATATTAATTTTTATATACAGCTTAATATACATATCTCAAAAATAAATATATAATATATAGATTAGCATAATCACCTCTTCAAGAATTTTTTGCTAGATCTGCTTCTAAACAGACAATTTAAACAATCATGAAACAAATGGTAAACAGAAAACCAACATGGAAATAAAAAAAAAAGTGAAGATTTAAAAAGAAATTAGAATCTCCAAATAATTCAGTTCATGGTAACAAAAAAAGAATGAGTTTTAAAGCTCACAGCAATTCTCAGTATTGCAGAATTCACAATGTTTAGGATTTTGAATACCTGATTTAGTGAGAACCTGTCCCCAAGACACACAGGTTTCTGAGTTAAATGAATTCCATCAGGGAAGCAGAGAGCAGGGTAGCAAAACCAGTAATAGAAATGATACTTTTTTAAATCCTAGGGAAAAGAAATTTGTCTAATTAGATAATAAAGAGTTATACCAAAGTAAATTATATAATGCTAATTAAAATTAATGGTTTATGATTTTAACCATGGGAACCACAGGTATCTTTACCTCATAATGAGTTTAGAAAATCAAAGACTTCCATTCTCTGTAAATGTTTTTTATGTATGTACAATCCTTTAGGATTTCTTAGCTGGAGCACTTATTAAAACTTTCAATTTATTGAACATGAAGCAGCTGCTCTACTTTTACTGATATCTGTAAGGCTATCAGTTAATCTCATACATTTGTAGAAAATAATACAAAAATATATTAATGCAGCATTATTATTAATACAAAATATATTAATACTCCTAAAAACAAATTACTTTGCCACTTCCACTACAAATAGGAGGCACAAATTATCTGTACTCACTGCAAATGTCAGCAGCAGGAACCTGTTCAAGAGCAGGGGGTTCTCCAGAGCAGCTCCAGATTTGATTGATTCCCAGATCTGCCATGGATTGTGGGGACAAGGAGGAAAAAAAGAGGCAGAGAAACACCAAGAGAAGATGAGAACAGCTGCAAAAATCTGTAACTCTTCCAGCTAACTTTAAAGTCTGGAGATAAATGTTCATTGCCATTTTTTTCTAAGTGAATTTACTCATACAATTATGTGTGATAAAAGGATTTTAAAGGTCAGGCAACAAGGAATTACGAGGCCATAGGAATGCAAAAATTCCTAGTTTGGAGTGAAGCCATGCATCAAAACTTTGTCACTCAAGGCAATTAATTAAAAGAATCAAGGACTGGTCAAAGTAAAGCATCTTAAATTTGACTTTCACCTCTCCCCAGGCCATGACATTAAATTAAGTGGTGCCAGTGCAGACAGACCAGCCCCTCTCACCCATCTTTTTCTTGATTTATCTCAGGCTTCTTGCTGCTGTGGAGCTTCCCTGTCTCTTTGTCACACGGATAAACTGCAGTAATCTGAGGTTTAAACCAGGCACTGCTGGTTTTTGGGTATGAAGACAAATTTTAAAAATGTGCTCTACAGAATTCAAGTCCCTGGCAGCTCCAAGAGCATTGTAGAGCTTAAAATGGGATGAAGTTCTCCAAGTAGGATTAGTTATCAATAATTAAATTAGGTTCTATTCTCTTGTAGAGAACAGCAAGAAGCAAACTCCAAGAATCCAGAATAAGCTAAATCCTGAGCCTGCTCAGGACTGGAGTATCTCTAAATTTGAGGCAGAGTGTAAAGCACTTCAAGTGGTAGAAAGGATTTGGAAATGCTGTTATCTGATTTTACATCTTACCTCACTTGCTTCCTTGTCCAGAAGTGATTTCTTATCACAGGATTTGAAAGACTCAAAAGTGTTGGTGTTATACAACGTTCCAAAAGCAGGACAGCAACGTGCTGGTATTGAAGCATTCCTGATAAAAACAGAAGGAAAACTCTGGGAATTAACACAATCACCAGCAGCAGTAGCTATCTGATGGTGTAAACTTAAATTATCAAATGATGAGCACAGCAAGGAAATTAACACCACCTCTAATGAAAACATCTTTATGAGCATGGATGAATAACCAGTGCAAACACACACCTCCATCATGGCTTCAGAAATACATCTGGCATCTCTGTGTGTTCTCCAAGCAGAGTGACACTAAACCAGGGATTGAAGCTTTTAAATTCTGCTCAAACAGGAGCTACCTGAGGCAAATGGGATTTGCACTGGGAAAAACTAATTTAGGCTGAGCTTAGATGCCAGTGTTGTACCCACATGAAGAGTTAGTTAAAATCTGATGTTTAAAACACATCCCAGAGGAAGCCCAAACCAGACAAAAGATTGAGCAGCTTCTGTAGTTTGTAGCATCATCAGCTGGAGAAGCTGCTGCCTATAAACAGCATTTATTTTATAATTAATTAATTTTAAAATTTATTTATAAATTTATTTTTGAGATAAATTAGATAAAAACCCTCCAATCTTCCCTTAATTTACAGATCTCACTGATTTCATTGCCTCCTTTGACACTGTTCTCAAAACCTGGCATTTTTCCAGTCACAACAGAGAAACACTTTGGAAGAGGTTACAGTGTAACAACCAGGGACTGTAAAAACAATTTGAAATTCTAATTAAAGCTATAAGGGAAAGAGTCAAACGACTGAAAAAGCCTCCCTAATGCAAAAAGCTGAGGAAATGAAAAAAAAAAAAAAATTATATAAACATACATGCAGAAAATGAATGAATTTCAGAATTCAGAATATTTTAAATTCAGCCAGAAGGAGTTAATTTTTTGTGACTCAAAGCAGTCTCTGTTATAGAGTTCATTAAAATGTTATTTATTCTCATGTAGAGTTTCTCTAACAAATAAATCAGTTTTATGCCAGGAAAGTGTCTTCACACACAAATGAAGGAAAACCACAGCCTGTACTTACATATCAAAGGCACTAAACTCCAGGGTCAAGCGAGCTGGCAAACCCAAAGGATCACCTGGACAAAAAAAAACCAAACAAAACAGCAACAAAGCTCCTTTCAGACTGAAATATACAGGTTATTTCCCTTTATTTTTTGTTGATGTAAAGCACCCAGTGAAACATTCAAAGTTCACAGCCATGAAAGGTCTGCAGCATGCCAGATAACTCAGAGGGGTGTCAGGAGCAAGCTGCAGCGGTAAGGCACGGTTAGTTTGTGTGTACCATTGTAGTAGTAGCCCTTGATGACTTTGGGGGTCTCATCCAGCCGGTACTCGTTGAGTTTCCTCTGGGTCAGCTCGTGCCAGAATCCCGCATCCAGGGCGCTGCTGAACGGGGCGAACTGCAGCTTGGCGAGCCCGGGCTCCCCGCCGGCCGTGGCCATGGCCTGGCTGCTGCTGCTGCACCCTGGAACGGCACAGAAACACCGGGAAACCGAGCTGAAGGGAGCCGGGACACAGCCGAACGCGGACACGGCACCGGACCCGCACAGCGACACGGGACAGGACACACACGGGACAGGGACGGGACACACACGGGACAGGGACGGGACACACACGGGACAGGGACGGGACACATACGGGACAGGGACGGGCCCCTCACAGCGACACGGCACCGGGATCGACACCGACTCCTCCGCCTCGTCTACGCGTGCCTGCAGCCCCGGGGAGATGGCTGAGGCCCGGACACACCGACCCGGGAGGAACGAGGGGCGGTGCGGGGATGGTGCCGGTGCTGTGACCCTGCAGGGGCAGTGCCGGTGGCGGTTCCCGGGGCTGTGGCGGTGCCGATGGCAGGGGCTGTGGCAGTACCCGGGGCTGTGGCAGTACCCGGGGCTGTGGCAGTACCCGGGGCTGTGGCAGAGCCCAGGGCCGGCGGGACCCGCCCGCTCCCACTCACCGGCTGCACCGCTCGCTCCGCGCTTCCGGCATCACCGGCCGGCGCACACCGCTGACGTCACCCCACCGCGCGCACGTGACTAGGCAGGCGGCGCGGAACGATGACGTCAGAAGGCGCTGTGGGCGGGCAGAGCCTGAGGCGCGGTTGATCCTGGTCCCGGTCCCGGTCCCGATCCCGATCCCGATCCCGGTCCCGGTCCCGGTCCCGATCCCGATCCCTCACCTCGGGTCCGGCCGGCGCAGCCCCAGCCGCCGGCTCCGGCGGGCCCGTGCCCCGCAGCACTTGGAGCCGTGTGCCCGGTGCCGTGCCCTGCTCCGACCCCCCCGGCACACAACGGAGCCCTCAGAAGTGAATGGCGTCATTTTAGATGCTGGAAGAAGGCCACAATGTGCGCCTGCACTGATGTTCGCCCTCCCATCGGCGGCATTTCCTGACAATGTGGGGAAAAGCACGATGACAATTGCCTGCTGCATCCCGGGATTCGCTGCTGTCCCAGCAGATGTCCCCACTGGGCAGGGAACGCTCCCAGGGGACTCCTGTGCCTGCAAAACCTGCTCCGCTCCCAGCACAGCCGAACCCCAGCGCATCTCCAGGAAATGCCCGGACCCTCGTTACGCTCTCCGCAAGCTCCGTGTCCTCTGAGCTTGGCTGGGAACTGCAGAATCCTGAAAACATTTTTCAGAAAACCACACCTGAAATATTCCCTGGAGCCTTGGCTTCTCCGTTTCTTACCCTGATTTGCTCTCCTCTGCTTCCCTCACATCCAGAGCCACTGGAATTGCCCCGTCCAGTGAAATGAACAGAAATTTTCTTGGGTACTTTTTTGTGCTATATAAAATAGGCACTATCCCATTTTCCTGTTTTATTGTCATCTAAAAGCTATAAAATGTAGCTATCGCAAATCCCCTGTCTTGACTATTAACACAGTTATGCAACGATCATGAATAAAATGTCTTGAGATAATATATATATATACATATTTATATGTATATATATTTATATGTATATATATATATATATTCAGCCAGCTTTATTTTCCTGGGTTTAGCTGTCTGAATGTTCTTTATTTTTACCAAAGGCTTTGTTACCATCATTTTTAGACCAATTTTCAATGATCTTGCTGAGGTTTTGTTGTTTTTAAGGTCAGAAAAGCCAATTTACATGATCAACAGGACAGATTTCTTGGTAATTCTCAGCAGCCCTTGGGTAAATGTGTTTTTCAGCACCAATAACTGTGGCTGACTTTTATTTCCTCAGGGATCATCTAAATTACCATCCATTTTAGCCAGAAGTGCTGTTGCAAATCAGAACAGAAAAAAAACCCAATTTAGCGGCTGTGAACCTCAGCAATTGTTTGTGAAAGGCCAGGGATTAGAGCATGAGTTTCAAAAGGTTCTGTTCTTTATTCCAAAAAGGTGCATTTTTCTGCTTGTGCAGGTGTTCCTCCTGCAGTGAAAAAGCTGTCTGAATTCTGCAGGAAATTTTGTTGGTTTCATGTCTTCTCTCTGCATTTTGCCTTATTTCTCCTAGATTTAAGTTTCCTAATTGCAGTTTTTTTCTTGTGTGCAACTTGAAACCAAAGTCAATTAATCTCTGAACTTTGCAGAATACACTGGAATAGACTGAATTTATTCCTTTAGCAGATTTCCCCAATTTATTAGAATGCAGATATGTTAGTGTTTCATTTAATGTTGAGTCCTTTAAATACAATTAAGAAAGTATTCAGGATGTGGGAAATTCATCAGCACAACAAAAGGAATGAGAGGACTCTTTTTGTAGCATCAAAGCCACCTCAGCTTTCAGTTGTACTTCAACATCTTCCTGGTCTCTTTTCCAACATGGAGTATTCCATTATTATTGTGTTTTTCTCCTGAAATATTTGACAGCAAAATTTATGAAATACAAATTAAATATAAAGGGTAGAAAAGGTCAACACATTTCATGTATAATCAACTATATTCTGCAAGTCTGGAAACAGCAGCAGGCCCTTCTGGAGCAGATGGTGACAGGACATTGAGCATGGAAACTCTTTTGGGACATAAAACCTCTTTTTCAGCAAAGTTAATGTGTAGTTAATCTAAGCACAATATCACAGAGATACAGCAGGATACACACCAAAACTTGACATTTGATGAAAAGTTTGTGATTTGGAGCAGGCTATAAATAAATGGGAGAGACTTTTTAAACTCTTGGACGTTTTTTCTTTGACTGTGCAAAGTACCTCCTCCTGCAAATCTCACTTCACAAGCAATGTGTTTAATGGAGTAGGTTGAAAGAGAAAAATGTTTTTGGCCAATCAGTGAAATGTGATTTCTTCCTTTTCTGTAGCTGAATAATTTATAATCACTGAGGATGTCTATTTGTATCTCCATTTCTGTATGGAAGTGGTGATCTCCAATGGTAAAAGGCTGACAACAGTGTAACAGTTCATATATTGACCTTGACTTTTTCAGATCCTTGATCTGAAGTTGCTCTTCAAATGTATTAAAACTACAAAGTGCACATTTCCCACTTTTACTAACACTTCTTTATAGACTACAGTTCACCAAAGTCTTTTACTGAACACGTCCTTTGAAACTGGAACATTTGGTTTGGTTGAACTCCTGAGCTGCACCTGAGCACCAAAACTCCAGCATCAATGAATGTGAAGGAGCTTTTTAAAAGTCTTCTTGAAGTTCTGGTTACAGAGAGGATAGAGGAATGGGTTTAAGGTGGAGTTGACGTAGCCCAGCCATATGGTGACCCTATGCAGTTCTGAGAGCTGTGGACGGTTGTTGTGCTCCTTGTTTAACGTTATCACCATGAACAACACAAAGTAGGGGATCCAGCAGAGCATGAAGGCTGCCATGATGACCCCCAGCTGCTTGGCTGCCTTCCTCTCCCTGTTCCCGTGCTGGTGGGTGCTCCTGGAGCGGCTGTGCAGGGTGTGCCAGGTTTTCCTCAGGAACGCCAGTCCCCTGGAATCCCTGTGCTCTGTCCTTCCCTGAGGAGAGCAGGCTCCTGCAGGGCCGGGACTGGGCTGCTCTGCACGGGGGGCCACCTCAGTGAAGGTGTGGTTGTCTGATGCCACGCTGGAGTCGCTGTCCTGGCAGCCAGGCTGCTCCTTATTCCCAGGTTTTTTCGTGGCGCACACCCCCTTCTTCCCTGCTCTGTCCAAGCCAGGCTCGGGCTTGGCTGTGGTGAGAGAGAAACACTTCAGGACCTTCCCATTACTCAGCGCCTCTGAAGCCTCACCAGGATTGCTGAAATGAAGCTCTGCCTCTGCTTTTTGGGGCTCTGGGGAGCTTTGCTTGTCCGTGCCAGGGGTGTTCTCACCTAAGACTTGCTCCTGGAGGCAGATGTTTTTCTCATCCCTCGTCTTAGCCTGCTGCACCATGGTTTTTTCCTTGGAAGAGCAGTAAGATCTATCGGTGCGCTCTCGGTGCTGGCAGTGTTTTCGAACGGTGCTGAAGATTCTGCAGTAGAACCACACCATCAGCAGGGAGGGCAGGTAGAAGTTGAAAATGGCCGTCAGCACTTTAAACCAGGTGACTTTGAAGAACTCGGTCTCACACTCATCTTCCCTGACGTTCCTTTGGCCGTGGTTGGCGAAGACGTGCCAGCCCAGGATGGGGATGAGCCAGGTGGAGGAGAGCAGCCAGGCCCCCAGGATGAGGAGCGAGGCTCTCACCTTGGTGCGGTACTTGAGGTACTCAAGCGGCTGCTGCACCGAGCGGTACCGGTCCACGCACAGGATGAACAGGTTGAAAATGGAGGCTGTGCTGGCCACGTAATCCATGGAGAGCCAGAACAAACAGGCCTCCAGCCCCAGGGGCCACTTGGGGCTCAGCAGGTACACGATGTGCAGGGGCATCACGGCCGCCCCCACCATCAGATCCGCCACGGAGAGGCTCACGATGTATAAATTACCCACCGTCTGCAGCTTCTTCTCCATTTTCACAGCACACAGCACCAAAATGTTCATGACAATGGTGATCAGGGAAATGCTTCCCAGGAACAGGCCTAGGAGAGCTGAGGGAGCGTTGCTGCTGCTCTCTGTTGTGTTGTGGGACATCTTTCTTGACTGAGAATCGCAGTGGATGTCCAGGCCTTGGACGGTCAGTCATGGTTTGCACTCCTGGATGTAAACATGCTGCTTGAGGATTATTATTTCCAGAACTAGAAAAAAGAAAGAAAATGTACTCAATCGCTGTAGTAATGAGATAATAAAGCTAATTCGTGCCTCAGCTTAGCACTGTCCCTTTTTGGGCTTTCCTAAATAACAAATTTTTACAACATTTTACATAATTTGTGTTTTATGAAACCCCACTAACCAATCCCAAACAGTTTTCATAGAGCTTCATCTATTTCTGACCTCAGAATCTGAAGAAGAAATTTAATTCCTCACAGTTTTAATTCATTAGATCTCATTAAACAGCTGATCATGAACCATAACATAAACTCCATATTGGCAAACCAATTTAAAATGTGGTAGTAAAAACATATTTAGTATTAAATAATTTAAACAAGCCAGTGCTTATTTACAACCCCCATCTAACACTTTGAGAATCCAGCAGCTGGCAGTCAGTAGGCAGTCATTCAAATTATAGGTAATGAGTAATCTCTTCCTACACAATTTAGGCTCCCACAGATTTCAAACATTTAAAGATGCCAGGCCTATTTGAGATCAAATGCAAAATAATAAGATTTTTCAGGACTAATAAGCATCTTCTGCTTCCCAACTGCTAATTCTTGTATTGATCCACAGTGCAGAATTGATTAATAATATTTTACATCTTGGAGCAAATGGTCAATTGACCAAATTCTGCCTCCAGTCCACTGATGAAAGATGTCTGTGAGGGTGACACATTTTGTGCCATTTAATAGCTTGTCTGAGTTTATGTTCTGGTAAATCTCTTAAAGCAATAAGGAAAGAAATTGAGACTGTAAAAATATTTGCTCAAAATATTTACACAACTAACACGGAGATATGCATGGGATTTCTCAGCCTCTTAACTCTAAACACGGCCAGAGCAATACAATGCAACAGATTGTTCAATAGTCAGGATTTCCTCTTGAAATTCGGTGATGCAATACTTCATTTAACTTTACCCTTTTTATTCCAGAAATTTTTATTCCAGTAACCGGGGTTGAAGCTGCAATTATTTGTGCTTCCTTATGAGAGGTCAAATTCCTTCTTTCCTGGGCTTTACTCACAGGTGGCTGTTGGAGAGGAGCTGTGTCCTTGGTAGCATCCATAGGCAGAGGGGACAGGAGCACCCTGGGGAGTGCTGTGATCCTGGATTCCTTCAGGCTCTGCCAGCACCGTTCCTCTGTGGCAGCTGCTCACAGGTCACAGAGCCCTCCAGCATCTCCTGAGAACCAGGACAGGAATTATTCCATGGATGTTGAGGACAGAAATCACTCCATGACACTGAGGGCAGGAATTATTCCATGGATGTTGAGGACAGAAATCACACCATGGATGCTGAGGACAGAAATCACTCCATGGATGTTAAGGATAGAAATCACTCCATGGATGTTGAGGACAGAAATTACTCTGTGGATGTTAAGGACAGAAATCATGCCATAGATGCTGAGGACAGAAATCACTCTATGGACATTGAGGACAAAAATTATTCCATGGACATTAAGGACAGAAATCACTCTGTGGGCATTAAGGACAGAAATCCTTCCATGGATGTTGAGGACAGAAATCACTCTGTGGACATTGAGGACAGAAATCCCTCCATGGATGCTGAGGACAGAAATCCCTCCTTGGCTGCTGAGGACAGAAATCACTCCATAGAAGTTGAGGACAGAAATTATTCCATGGATGTTAAACCATGTCTGGAAAGTGGTTACATCCCAGTCTGTGTCTCTCCACCTCTTCAAGTATGTTTAAGTGTATGGGGCATGGCCGGGGCAAGGAGCTGATGTAAGACCCTTCACCCCCACATATTTCCAATTTAATGTAAATGGCATGTAAAATGTAAATGGTGTGTAATTATATGGTAAAATAAAGGGAGAAAAGGCAACTATAATTGAGTCTTTAACTGAAAACAATACCAGCAAAGAAAGCTGCCTGGTTAGACAGCTCTCCTTGGTTGCATATGGAATATATGAACTGCATTTGGGCTTGGACTGGATGATCTCCAGAGATCCTTCCAACCTCAACAATTCTGTGATTCTGTGAATCAAACAGCAGAACACAGTAAATGCTGTTCACTGCTTCCCAAACTTTCTCCTTAGCACTGCTGTGGTTGGATAGGGCAAGATTTAGGAAGCAAGAATTGATCTCCAAAGCGGGTTAATGTGCCCTTTCTTCAGGAGCTACTGATGTAATTTCTTATCTCTAATGCAGTTGCCAATAGAAGAAAGTGATAATGACTGAATGGGGTTTAATGTTTGCACAGTTGAATTATACTGAAACAAAGTTCACTAAGACAGAACAGATTAAAAAGAAAAAATAACAAAACAGCTCAAAACCTTGGGTTACTTTGTGGAAATTCTAAACCCTGACCTCACGGTGAAATGCCTCTTTAATTCTTGCTGTCTGTGAAGAGCTTTTTCTACAGGGAGGCTCAGCAAACATGATTTGTTATTGTATTACAACTCCAAGGAACAAGAATCTCCTGGGAGATGCTGAGTGGATGCCTCGGTGCCTCATCAGTGCAGGTGCAATCTGTTAAACCCTGACCAAGTGGGAGTAAGTTTCTAGAAACTGGCACGTCTCTTGCTGATAGATTTTAAAGAAATTACAGCTCCAAAGAGCAAAATTCTTGCTCATCAGACTAAATACAAGGCAGAAAGTGAGATTTTAATTCAGATGGCCTTTACTCACTCTGTTGTACTTAAGAAACTTATTTATTTCTAGTGATTTTTCCCCAAAAATTATTCTTGAAAGTATTAACATCCTAGAAGTTTGATTAATTTCCCTCTCAAAAACCCATTTATTTCTCTGTAAGGGAACAGTCCCTATTCAATGCCTGCTGATATTCAAGGAATATTTCTGATGAAAAATAAATGAAAAAACTTGGGAAACCTGCCTGTTGTTCCCACTCAAATGACAATGTCTCAGTCCAGCCAGGACAGTTTGGAAGTGAAGCTTCAGTATCCTTCAGGCAGCATAACCAGCTACTTAATGAAACAATTTTCTACACACCACTGCATTTACTTCCTTTTCTTTCCCTAAGTAAATTTATTATTTTTATTAGTTATATTAGTTATTAGTTATATTTATTTATTAGTTATATTAGTTATTATTTTTAACTTTCAGCCTTAACCTGAAGTGATCAGGAAACAGATACAGACTTCTTTGACTCTGGCTGGCATTTTTTTAACAACTCTCTTTAACACTTGGCCTGTATTCCATGAATATTAAGAAGAGATAACAGAAGATGGACACATTCCAAAGAATGTTTTGGCCTTCCAAATATAAGCTCAGACTTCCATGGAACTCCTCTTCCAGCAGTTCAATTTCCTAGTTTAGGTTGTTCTAAATATCAGTTTTTCCATGACAAAATCCATTCTTGGTCTTGTGATAGCATTCCCCAAATATGGATTATTTTTTGCCAGGAGATTGGGGGAAAAACTTCTCTTGAGTAGAATCCCAAAGCTTTCAGATATGGTGTTAATTTTCCCTGCTAGTCTAAATATTATCAATATCAACTAATTGGTCATCAATGTGATCTCTTAGCAAAACAGTAGTTAAATGTAATTTTCTTTAAGTACTTTCTTTAAGTACTGTCTTATATTCTTTACTCCATTACTTGTGTGTGAAAAGAGAATTTGCTGTAGGTGCCAGACCTGTGAAATCACTGCTGTAACAGAAGAAAAGTCCTTTGTGCTGTGGTGCAGTAAATAGATCTGTGAGCTGTACAATCCCTTATAAACAAAGGGGAATTTCCCAGGAATGTGGTTCCTCTAAAGCTGAGCAGCTGCAGTGGTGCCTTTCTAGTCTGGGTTTGGAACCCATTATCCCAATTCAGTCTAACAGGAAATCTTTCCTACAAGAATAGCAAAAAAATCTTAATTTTTTTGGACTTCACCTTGAGCTACTACTGACTCCAACCCCTGGCAGCCGTAAAACTTGGTGGGTTTAATCCACCTGCATCAGAAATACAATTAACTTCTAAAAATGTAACTCACCCCATCATTCAAACATTAAGATCTGCTTCTTTCCAAGTGGCTTGGGAAATCATTACTCACAAAAGTAAAAAATAATACAAGTGATGAAGAGTTGAGAGTTCTTTCAGCAGGGAGGTTGATCACTATGAAAACTTTTAGGGGATTAACTTGAATTCAGCTGAAGTGAACTTCTGGTGCTTTGGAACTGTATGAAAACCATCACAAAAATGCACAGATCTAAAAATCCTAGTGGGTGTGAGGAGTCACTGTCTCCTTGTACTAGGAATAAAAGTAAATCCTGTTGCTGAAAGATTTCTTTTGGGTCACTTTTTTTTCCCCATTTTTAATTTGGAACCCGTATTTTCAGTCTCTTCAAACATCCGGTGAACTTTCTGTAGTAATTTAATGAGTTCATTAATTTGCAATAATTCATTGCAATAATATAATAACAATAATTAATAATGAATTAATCAATAAATTAATAATAATAACAATAATTCATTGAAAATACAAAGCTTTTCCTTTACAGAAATACACATCTGACTTACACAAACTCCTTTTTTTTTTTTTTCCAGGCAGCTTTAATGTTTTTTGTTGGAGTAAGAAGATGGCAGAGGGGCACAGGGTCTGTTACAGTGACAGAGCCTGGTGCCTTGCAAACAAAAACTTAAAAAATATGCAAGAATTCTGATTCCTCTCCATCGCTGCTGTCTGTAAAGGAAAGGCTGAATCAAGGATGGGATAAGGTTTAGGGCAGGTTATGTCCCTGCTATAGGGTCAGCCCCCTCAGGATGTGCTGGACTTGTATTTGAGAAAAGATCTCTATGAAAATAATGCATTTAGGATTTTACCTCGCAAGAGCACAAGTGTTTTCAGAAGGGGGTGAGGGTTTAAATTCTTCCTCTTCAGCCAAGCCACTGTTCTCCCTTAAAACCCTCCCTGCCAGTTTTCCCCAGCCATGTACCCTTCCCTTCCCTCACCAGAATGATGCTTGAAACAAGAGCGGGCAGACAGGAACTCCCCCGAACCATCTTAACTCAGGTGTGGCCATGAAGCACAGCGGAGAATCCGGACTTCATCCATCCGTCTCCCTTCCCTTTTCCGTTCACATCTGAGCATCCCCTCCGTGCAGCGACTCCTCTCTGCTCCGGGGGCAAACCTGGCAACCTTCGGAGCTGCTGGATCTGCACCTCGGAGGAGCCTCCTGCAGGGTATTGATGCTCTTCTGCGATTTTTCTTCAGCTTTGTTTGCCCCTACGCTCCCCTCTGCTGCTCTGCGCTGGGATCGCCGCTGCAGGAGCGGGCAAAACCTGCCCAGGGCTCCCAGTTTATGGCGAGGGAGAGTTACCAGAAGCGGAGAGTGTTCGGTGCTGAGCTGTGCCGCTCCTGTTTGCTCTCCTGCCCCGCTCCCCTGGCTGCGCTCAGGTACCGCCAGGCTCCAATCCCTGCAATTCCTGCAATTCCTGCAATCCCTCCCGTTTTCCCTGGCCCCAGCTCCCGCCTCCCTTTCCCTGGCGCTGTTCACTCACCAAAGCAGGAGCGGAGCGGGGAGAGGCTCCGGCAGCTCGGGCAGCGGGGCCGGGCGGGACCGCTCCTCCTGCCCCGGGCTGGGCTGGGCTGGGCTGGGCGGGACACGGCGGAGGCGGAGGCATGGGATACGGTGGGACGGGACGGGACGGGACGGGACGGGACGGGACGGGACGGGACGGGACGGGACGGGACGGGACGGGACGGGACGGGATGCGGTGGGATGGGATGCGGTGGGATGCAATGGGATGCGGTGGGATGCGGTGGGATGCGGTGGGATGGGATGCGGTGGGATGCAATGGGATGCGGTGGGATGCGGTGGGATGCGGTGGGATGCAGTGGATGTGATGGATGGATGGATACAGTGGATGCCCGGCCCCGTCCCACCACACAGCTCCGGGACGCTCCGAGGGCTGCTCCCCTCTCTCCGGGGAAGAGCCCAGCTCTGGGAACTCTGCTGCCCGGGCTCTGCTCTCCCCGCCCGCCGGAGAGCCCCGGCTGTGGCTCCAAACCTGTGGAAATCTGAGCTGGCTGCAGCGGGGGGTACGTGAGGGTTCACCTGAGGTAACCCAAGAGCCTGCGGAGGATCAGACACCACATCCTGGCTTGGGATCATCCCAGCCCTCAT